GATGGAGAGTGCTGATGGGTGGCCTATGCTCCTCGACGAGGGGTAACAGGCGTAACTAAGAAATTGTAAAAAACGGCCCTGAAATGTGGATGTGCTCACTTTGTGATCCCGATCCCTACTGATTTTATAACAATAGGTATAATGAATGGATTGTCACCATAGTGGTTAAATTAATTGTTAGGTGAATCTCTTTAGAACAATCTGGCTTTAACTAACTTCACTGAATAGTGTTCTTAAGATAATGGCATCATCCACCTCATTGCGCACATATATTTAAATACCAATCGTGGTAAACGTTATAGAAAACTAAACAGAGAACACGTTGAGTACTTAAAGGTTATTAGTTTGGCTACTGAGAAACTCCCACTTTGTGCTCAATGCGTTGTACAATTTTATACCGATTCGATAGATATAAATAATAGTGACAACTAGGTGAAATTTCAGAATAATCTCCGTAATCAGTGGGAAGTATTCAACTAACTAAGCAGTGCTGCGTAATAATTCATTAGTAAATGAGAAAACTGTTCATCATTATTAATACATAAGATTTTAAATGTCTCAAACCAGCTGATATCAGTTGAAGTATCACTTCTCTTCCCCGTCGTACAGTTTAAATTAGTACTTGTTTTTTACGCCTCTAATGAATCAGCTTGAAGACAACAGTATTAAGGAAGCTCTTATTTCATAAAAGGGAACAAAATTGTTGGGTATTATAGCCGTCGCAAAAATCACAGACTAATTAAATGGGAAACCATTCAAAGCCTTACTTTTTACAGATGAGGTTCAGCCTTAACATTTCATAATACAAAACATATTGCTTAGTCTTCACGTTTCCTAACTAAAACTTTTCTGGTGAGAAAACCATACAGAATACTTTAAATTTAATCTTAACAAGTATATGTGTGATCAGATTGTTCGAAATGTATTGCGCTAATATATCACATAGTTCTGATAATCTTCGTCTTCTAATATCATTATCGAAATTTATCAAAGGGACTAACTTTTAAATTTGATGAGATTAACATTCAGATAGGTTTTTTAATAATGGTCAAATTCAACGGAAATTCTGTAATTTACTTTCATTAAAAGATGCCAAAAATCTACCGAAACTTGGTTTTACCGTGTGCATTACCTTTCTAAAACGATTGCTCGATAAGCAATGATAAGTTGCACCATGATTTCATTTCTAATCTATTGTCCAGAAAATACCCTAACCTTATTAAATCTGGACACTGTGTTCTTATTGCTGACTCCCCTATGCGAGTTGTGAATTTGTAATATTATGTAGTTCTCTTACTTCTTTACCACGTATTACCGTGATGAGTCCAGAACACTACGAATAAATTTCCAGTAGATATCTTTGACTACTCATTAGTAGAGTGACATTTCCAAATAAGAATGAGGAAATTAGCGGCAATACAATCTAATAGACAATATGGATTATTTATCAATTCAGAATATTCACCTTGGTTGATCGGACTTTCAATTTCATGGCACTTATATATTTTTCTTTGAGTTCGGAATATGTAGCACAATATATTGGATGCATGGCCATAAAGTACACTAATGCTAAATAATACTTAAAACAGCTTTGAATCCTTTAATAATTATAATCTACAAATTCACTTAGGACGTTTGGGATTTCATTATAATACCTTTGTATTGCTTCTGGAAAGTGAAGGGAATCTGACATGAAGATGATAATACGTCCTGTAACTATTTTTTTGTTACCTCCCATGGTTCTGGAATTCAAGTAGACTGAAAATCTGAGCCTTAACTTTCATCCTCTGGATTCACACTAACGTATATGGCTAACTATATATAAATATATATCGTGAATTTGATTCATAATAGATTTACAAAATGAAAATGTTCCGTTTCTTAAAATCCCATTTTCCGCTCCGTTAACACTATAAAAACTGCCGCCTATTGTTCTGTTTTCAGTTTTAGATTTGATGTGGTAAGATGTTTTGACTACATGGCAGAACTGACGATTGGTTTTGAATCCACGTATCAGATCAAATGGTTGAATCCATCAATCTTTAGTTTTAGAAAATAGAATTGTGATGTCACCCTCACAAGATCTTTAAAAGACGCTGTGAATTACATTTCCCAATTCAAAAGGTATATGAGGGAATGAGATTGAATCTCTAAATTTTCTATTACAGACAGAAAAAGTACTATGTACTAGTTCGGAATTTGTAGTTCTGTCAAATAACGATCAGGATGACTTAACCTAATTCGCAAAAACTTTATGAATACATTGGATGTAGCTTCTGAAAAGTATTACTTTAAAAATACTAATTTGCTAGAACACGAACATCAAGAAATTGGTCAAATGCGATTATATAACATTAAAAGAAAACAGAGAATAGATTAGGATTTTGCAGTAGAAAAGAATATTTGGAACTCGTATTTCTCAAAAATCGAGTAAGACAAAGCAAAACTGTAGGGCAATCACTGTCGGCAGAGATTTTGAATCATATGTTTTGAACTCGAGCTACCCCATCTCTCAATCCGCAGAAATCCATTCAAAGTCGGTATTTTCGAATTATATATACGTAGAAATGACCTTTAGTATTCTCAATAAGTAATGCATGATGAGTTAATATTTTACACACAAACATTAACCATTAAGTGGTAAGTTCAGTTGGATAGCCTACATATTATAGAAGAATTAGACACTACCTGGATAACAAGCGACGAAAAGTCTTCAACAAAACGGATAAATATCGACAATATGTATATTTTTCGTCATATCCAAATGAATAGAAAAATTTTCTTTATGATGTTATAGGTACCTCTAGAATACCACCGAATACGAAGTGGAAGAGTGATAATACAACAATATACTTCTAAGCTACATTGCAACAATGTGATATTCAAAACAATTAGTCCCTTTGATAAATTTCGATAATGCAATGAGAAGACGAAGATTATCAGAACTATGTGATGCAATACAGACGTGGTTTGATAAGGTGTCTTTTCAACAGACTCGACCGTATTTGTACCAATGACGCCATTGATGATGATGTTAAGTTGTTAAATAAAACGTTAATAGAAAATGGCTATCCTCTGAAATTCATAAATAGATGGAAAGTCCATGGTACAGCGAAACCTACTGTAGCCTCGGTAGAGAAAAAGCCTAATTACATCACCTTACCATTCAGAGGTGATTCAAATAGCCTTTTACTGAAACGTCTTAAATCAGTCATCAATAAAACCTATTGCGCAGCAAAGGTCATCATCAAAGAAAGAACAAGGTGCATGCTTCATTCAAAACCTAAAGTACATGGCAACGATTACGTCACATCCCACTGTGTTTACCAATTTAAATGTGCGTGTGGTCACACATACATAGGGAGGAGTAATCGTGATCTCAACATTAGGGTGAGTGAACATGTACCCAAATGGCTTCAGAAACAAATACAATCAAGTGACCCAATAAGAGCAGAGGATAAACATCCATCATTCGCTATTGCTAAACATATAATTGAAACAGGTCACAAGATTGATCTAAATTCAGCTTTTGTAGTGCTGTATAAAAGTGTAAAAGGGCGTATATTAAGGTTCATTGAAGCCTTAGCCATACGAAAATTCAAACCCCCTTTATGTGTTCAAAAACAGTTTGTTCTTACCTTAAACCTACCCTGGTAATATTGACTTATTATCCAGAGTGATTAGGTTTCGCTTTGTGTTCACATTATTATTATTACTCTTTTCATTATCCTTATCTCCTCTTACCCCATTTCCTGTCTAGTTGACCTTTTATTTTTATATATAAATGCTCTTAACAAGTATATGTGTGATCAGATTGTTCGAAATGTATTGCGCTAATATATCACATAGTTCTGATAATCTTCGTCTTCTCATTGCATTATCGAAATGTGATATTCGTCCGAACTTACTGTTCGTGAAATGTTATATATCTTCCTAGGTGTTAGTCCAATGATTAGCTTTCTGAAAGATAATTCCGGATTACAGTTCCGTCATATGGATCGAGAGCATACTTGGAATCAGGTTGTAGTACATGAGAATGTCCAAGCATCTGGAAATCTGATGAGACCTAAAGGGGATTCAAGGACGTGCTTTTCAGTAGCGCAAAAACGGTCAATGTACTAAACGTACATAGGCGAGGTCATTTGTCCACATCACATACAGGTGCTCCTAGCAGGAGGACATTGTAGTGTGATTGTATCACAGTAGTGCAACACTCAACCCCATATATTCTGTAGTGAGTTGTCAAGTTCCCTCATTGGGATTATGCAATTATTCTGAAAAGTAAGTTTGACTAGGTTGTACGGTAGAAATAACTTATGAGGATTTCCGGATTACTAATGTTATAGCTGACTAATGATTTCTTGCAGACAGTAGGTTGTCAACACCGTCACTGAATACTCGGATTTTTATTTACATTGACCATGTCAGATTCCATTATATTGAACAGAATAGGATCAGAGTTACAACTTCAGCTACAAACATAATTTGCAGCACAACAGAATCTAACTGCAACAACGGATGCATTCGGTTTATTGACATATATGGTTGCTTCTTCCTTATGGTACGCATTTTTAAATTGAATGTTGTCAACCAATATTAGAACTTAGTGGTTCGAGACCAATAGCCACACAATGAAAAACGATTCTAATCAAATCGAGAAACCACACATCACTGCTTTAAAAAATTTATTTGAAAGACCACCACAAACGTTTTCTGACCAAACCTGAGATGGACCGAAGCCTGCAGTGTTTACGTAGCGCTAACGAAGCTTTCAATTTTATAAGCGTCAGCAAACAACTTAACGCAGCAGCAGCAAAAACTATGCAAGTCAATATCAGTAGCCATTGAAGCAACTCATATGAGTTGAGGAGAATATGCACTAACACGACTACAAATCATAGTTGTGTCCAGCACGAATCGCAATGCCTACCTAAATTCGGGAAACATTACAAACCTGACAATAAAACTGGCAACAGTCAGAACTAGCAATCAAAAGGCTTATAACCAGTTAACTATTTATTAAACATCTAATCAAATAAACTGAATCCCATGTCTTCATCGCTTTCTTCAGAAGACACCTCTGCAGGTGCAGCTTTTTCTTCAGCCTTGGTTGTAGTAGTTGGAGCCGGTGCGGCGGCAGCGGATGTGATGACTGCAGCAAATTTAGTAGGATCTGCTAGGAACTCTTTTATCTGTAACGGAACAAGAAATGTTTACTTTTTAGAAACAAAACGAGCAAACTTCATAAGGAGACTATATTACTTGTCAACTAACCGCTGTTGTGCTTGTATTAAACATGTGTACTTTTATAACATCTTTAAAACTGTATTACTAGAATAACTGCTTGCTTAGTTCAAAAACGAAAAGAGACCAGGACATAAAACAACGGTAATGAGGTTGTAATACACACATCAACAATCTACTAATCTGTGACCTGATAGAGAACTAAGATTACTAAGACATCTTGGATGTAGTGATGCCGTATGACTTCAAAATAAGGCTTGCAACGATTGGAAGCTGTGTTCAGAATTATTCAAGTGAAGTTCACCATCCAGCTTTTCGATAACACAAGTACAGTCCTTTAAAAAATTATTAAACTAACCTGTTCGGCCTCTTTGAACGAGTAATCTGTCATAAGAGATATAGCCAACAAGTTTTTAAACCCGTTTGCTAGAACGTGTGGGATGCTGGCAAATGTTGTATATTCCAACGCCAAGCTTAAGCATGCAATATTTTGGACAATGGCGGCGAATTTTTCAGTTATCATATCAGGAGTTATATCTAAAACAGCAGGATCATACACGCAACCTTGTTCAAACACCTTAAACATAAGAAGGATAAAAAAAACCTTACTTGTTTAATAACCAAACCATAAGTAAATGGGTGAATTTTTAACATTCCGAGTAGTGTAGCTTCGCTCATCCCAACTTTTTCATCTTTGTGCACCAGATGAACATCACTAATAATTTCAATTGCTCCTCTGGCAATTTTTGTTGGTATGCTAAGAGCTTGGAAAAAAGCAGTCTTCTCTGGACCAAGACCAGTGTTCTGAGCTGTCACGATGACATCACACGGAGCGATTGCACCAGCTTTAGCAGGTGCTTCGACACGGTTTTTCTCAATTTTATCACGGACATCTGCAAGGTCACCATTGGTGAAGACAAATCCGACATTGTCCCGAATATGCGGCAAAAGCTTCTCCAAAGTAGCGTCTTGACCCATTTGCTTCTGAATGACCTTCCTCATCAGCGTATTTTTCCCTAGTACCAGCTCTGCACTTCCCCGAAGTGCCATCCTAATTTGTTGCATTTGCTTGGAACGGACATTGTCTACGTTGACGATAAAACACTTATCGAACTCTGACAAATGTTTCTCAAGTTTTCGGAAATAGCCAGCTTTCCACTCAGATCTCGTTTGACGAACCATCTCCACGCCCAACCACTTTAAACTACCGCCAGTTAGAACCGATTTAAAGAAAAATATTACCCATTGTGTTCAATGTTCCACATTTATACAGACAGTTTGAAATACTAATCATAATTAAAAATTTACAAGTATTAGCTTAAAATTTTAAGAAATAAATTATCAATCTGCTATTTATTTTAGAATTTCTCCGTATCGTTGATTCTCATTTAGTCCATTATCAATCTTACATTTGCATGTGAAGTCTTCCAAATAGTTAAGATCCAAGCTCAGATTGCAAGTGTCATTGTAAGCTGTCAGTTTATTTGTAGATGTTCAAAAACAAATCATCTTGCTACATTATGAAGCTAAAAGTGTACCACTAGCCAGTGTGATTTTGTACTATGCGAAATATATTTGTGTCCACGATCCCGCACTCAGGATTTGAATTTCAGATCACTGAGCCGGCATCCGACGGTGTTAATGCTAAGCTTCAACTATCTTCCTCAGTATGATTTAGATCTTTTCACGGACCATGAAAAACGAAGCAACTTCTAGTCCTTACTTTGTTCTTATTATCGAGAGTAATAGATAAGTTAGAATGTTCAATTAATTCCTTTTAACACTAATGTTTTTCAGTTTTAGTGTGAATTCGGTTTGCCTTCATTGTTCGCGCAAGTTGAATTTCCCTTATCGAATAAAGGAAATACCGTGTGAACACAAATCTTAGGTTAATGAGGTTCACATTTCTGAGCCATTTTAGACTTAACGAAATCTCTGTTACTTAGTACTGAATAATGCTTAGTCAGAAGTTATCAATTAAGTGAATACTGAATTCGAAAACCAAATGTTCGTATCGTAGAAAATTTTGACGAGCATTAACAAGTATTTAGAGCTACATAGATCCAGAAAGTCAGCACGTTCACAGTGATGAAAGACTTCCTTTAGAAAAGCTGCAAGGCAAATACTCATCCAAGTATTTCACAAGGAGTCCCATTTTTAAGAAGACATCAAGTTACATTTGGAAAATCAAGGCACTAAGAAGTCATGAACATGAAGAACTATCAAAAATAACAGTAAAAAATCTGATGATAACCGTTTTTGATAATCTACCAGATGTATATTTCCTCGCTATATGGATAGCTTATACGCAAATATGAATGATATGGCAGGAAAAAAGTTTAGGAACGTCGTTTTTGCATTGGGATATGAACTACAGAGGTTTCTAAAAAGTGAAATATTGTGTTGTCAGTGATGCGACCACATGATCAAAAACAGCAGTTTAGTTACATGGTTAAATGTTGTGTGACCCGTAGTTAAAGGTTGCCTGACCCAAGTGCTTTACGCTGAACATGCAATGAACTATGGGTCGGTTCATAAAACAGTTTACTGAAGATGTGGATTGTGAAATCACTTCATATGACCAGATGTTTTCACATCTATCTTTGCAGAATAGATCGGTAATATGAAAACTCGTAAAGTAATGCAGTACTTTCTCGATTTTCTGTTGTTCTGGGGAACGCATGCAACTAAATATAATTGGGCAGTATTTAGCGGTCGAAAAATTTCCTTATACATAATCATTCACGATTCATTCGGATGGAAGTAACGATTGATAAATCTAAGCAAACTTTCTTGCCTGTAAGTAATTCTCGTTCTTTTGACAGAAAAATTCAGACTAGTAGTGAATAGGTCTTTATTTGGATCGCAAGGCAGTCACAGTGAAGCCGGGGATTACCTGTTCAAACATACAAAGCTTTACAACATTCAGTATAAGATAATAGGAAATATAATATCTATACAAAATAAGGAAGTGAATGGATAATTGGGTTCTATTGTTTTGACATATACTTAGTTCTTTGAGGTTAACTTTTAACCAATCATTCTATGCTGTTACAATTCTGCCGACTGTAATGACTTGCGACGAAACTTGTTCAGTAAACGAAAAAACGTTTAGAATAAGCCACTTCTGAATAGCAAAATCTTTTTAGTTGCTTATGTACCAACTTTTTCAGATGCAAGGTCAATTGTATATTAAACGTAACGAAATACATGCCCCGGATTTTCGAGTATTAGAAGGGAGCATGCATGCACCAGCCTTGGAGTTCATCCAGATCTTTCTGTATCAAGCGGCTGATATTAAAAATGGAACCCGGGTGAAATGTATATAATAATGGAGAACAGTAAAGAATGATAGGTAATATGCAAGGATTGACAAGTTGTAAGAGTAAATGTCGAGTAATACCAAGAGCATGTAATCTCTTTATATAGTAAGTCAGACGGAAAACCTTCTTTGATAACAATAAAACGTGAGAAGACTAAGAGAGATCAGAGGAAAATGTAACACCAAGATAATTGACCTTCGACGCTGTGTTTATCAAAGAGTCTCCAAAGGCACAAGCATTATGGGATCTGAAAATGGTATTTAGATTCCGTTCATGTCTCATGCTAATGTTAACAGCTTGACATTTAGACGGATTAAGTATGAGACCATTACCAACAGATCAACAATCAATACGAGACAAAAACTCATTCATTAATAAGGGATGTAAAGGGGAAGAGATAGGCATACACACAGTGAGATCATCCGCATAGTTCACAAGTGTTTCCTATGGAAGATAGCAGATCATGCAGAAAAAAAAGAGAAAAGAAGAGGTGAAAGAACAGCTCTTTGTGGTACACCTTCGAGACAGTAGAGATTCTGAACAATTTCCTGCAAATACAGTGTACCGTTTCCTTCCAGAGAGGTAGGAACATTGCCAGTTGGTTATCCAACTGTCAGTGTTGACGCTGATTAACTTGGTAATTAGACGTTGTCTTGGTATAGATTCAAAAGCTGAAGTATAGTCCAGAAAAGCTCATCGAACATAATTCTTACCCTTTCCTAATTTGAACACTATATTGTGATGCAGAACAGCAACAGCATCTAAGGTGCTTCTTTTGCATCTGTAAGCAAACTGATACGGATCAATATGCTCTTTTATTGCAGGCTGAAGTAGAAGTATAAATAATTTTTCTACTGTTTTGAGGAAAGGTGAAGTTATTGCAATAGGTCTAAATTTCACATTCTTATCACCAGATACTTTCTTGGGTACACGGATTATCTTCATCTTTCTCCACATTTTTGGTATGAGATTAGATGAAAAGGATCTGTTAAAGATAACCGTGAATGGATAACATAGGACGTCAGCACATTTTTTAACAAGGAGGTTTGGGATACCATCAGGTCCCAAACATCGGGATGAATTAAGTGGCTGGAGACATTTTCGGACATCACTTTCAGTGAAACTAGGAACACAACTATTCTTTAAACCTGTGGATGTAGGGAGCATTATATTAGATGACCGACGTACAAGAGACTTATTTAAGTCACAAACATTCAGCTGGTTATCGCTCCTCATTTTTCTGTCACCTATAAGTTATTTAAAGTGTTTCCACATACTTGGAGAGTTTTTGCAAGACAAGAGTTTTTGAGTAAACATACAGTTCAGACGTTTAATCTCCAGGTTTGTCAGACCATTTAGCTTACAAACTTCACTAGAGTTTTTCTCCGTGTACATTTTTTTTTCTTTACGATACATATTTTAACTTAGTAGGAATCGCAGATAGTCCACTTTGTTGATTAGTGATCGGCAGTTAGAATCGACATATGATTAATGTTCATTCTCTTTAACGCATATTGCCAACCACCACGATGTCTTTTATAGTACTCTCTTCTCAGTCCAAACGTGTCCTTCAGAAGCGCTTTTCGTTACATTACTTGTCACGACAGTATCAGTCAGTGTACGATATGATGTGATTTCCACGTAAGATCTTATCGATTAGTTGGTCACAGTGTGGCATGTCTACAATTTTTGGATCAGGTTCATCATTATTGTGATACTTATACTGAGTTAAAAGATAAATCTACAAGCTCATGGACAATTTGGATGGTGATGTGTCTAATTACTGTGACATTCACAAGTAGAGGAGCTGCTTTCATTAGTAGATGAAAATGTTATATTATGCCTCCAACTCTGAATGGTCGACGCTTTTCAAAATCATGCGACGAAAAGACGTTCAGCAAGACCACATGACAATTTTGATTTATAAACGACGTTGTCGACGGTGATAGTTGAGGAAACTATATTTGCAGTATATGTTTTGACAAATTGGTTTCGGCTGCAAAACTCATGGTCAATATTCCTCGAGGTGAGTTAATTTACGAGATCCCTGTAAACTCACTTTCAGATAAAGATGAGCTGATTACATACATCTTTTGCATCAAACAGCTTGTGGATTTAGAAGACGATAAAATTATTGTTCTTATCACTTCATATTTGTATCCAGTCTTGATCAACAAAGCATTATACGACAGGCTCAATAGATTCATAAAAATCTGACAAGGATATAAGGTGTGACAATATTGTTGTGTTCAACCAGTTGGCCTTGATGAGCAAATAACTGATAATATATTCGTTCCTTATTTGTCTCTGTCGGTTTTGCTATGAATCGTTTGTTGTCGACGAATATTATTCATATCTTTTGTCCAGCTTTCGAAAATATGTTAGGTAAACCTAACATGGGTTTCGAGGAATTTATTCCGAATAAGACATACGTGACAACACTGTCACGTTCCTGAAACATGTTTGACGTCCAGAGGAAACTGAAAAGCGTAGCTATCTGCCGTGATTTTCCTGAAACATAATGGTTAGACGGATTATTAATGGGCCGAGCTGCATCGTTTTGATTAGAATTCGACCATCGTAATGGTAATACAAGCTTATGCTCATATTATTTAAACACAGTCTCTTTGGAAAGCATAACTCTTAGAAACTCGACGGTATATTTAGTATTCCTATATCGTTTAACAGTTTTTATTCTCCCTAAATTGATTCCCTGGGGGCTTCTTAGGCGATAGTTAGTCATGAATAAATTTTTGATATTGGCTCATTTGTTCATTTAAAATAAGATGATTACTAATCGACACCTGTAGATATTCGCAATCATTCTGAAGGGTGATACATTTACTTGGAACAATACAGATTTCATTTTCAGTGGATGGATGATTACATATTTCACGACAGATTGTTTCGCGAA